ATAAGGGCTGAATAACATTATAGTAATCAATTAAAGCATGATATCAAAAGATTTACATTGTTCGGATGTCAGTGTCAGATATTTGCTGGTTTCATGGGCACGCTGTCAGTCAGGGTTCTCTGATATTTACGGGGTCCTATTAATGTTCCACTGGCCACAGTCTAAGTAACAGTGATGTACACACAAGATGTACCCCTTTCATTTAAAATGTAAAATCACAAAAGTTGTGTTTTTCTTTCTCAACAGTCTTATTTGTGGTTTATAATTGCTGATTATTTTAGAACTCTTTTAAATGTCAGTGTGTAAATTGCACTTCTGTGTCCTTTAAAGGTAACTTTCAGAGTTGAGGAGAACACAGGTGAATGAAAGGAGTTATGTGAAGGGAATCACATTGTTATACACATCACTCAAAACCTGTAAGTGACTTGTTTTCTAAAATCGCCAGCTTGAATCGTAGCTGTAAATTAGTCTTTTTGTAAATATTTGCAGTTGAATGTTTTTTATAAAATCCATTAAATAACATTGTCTTTATTAATTTCAACGAATCTCTCTCTGGTCTCTGAACAGGAAACGTGACTGTGTCACAGCAACATGCTGGATGGTGTAACGCTGTCACATTTCCTCAACAGAACATGTGTGTTGGCTCCCGGCTGTCAGATTGCTGTTGCCTCAGGATTATGTGCTGAATGTTCTTGGCCTGCAGCTAAGATGACATGAGAGGCTTTATGTGGAGAGGGGCTAACATAGAGACAGCACAGCCATGCATACGTACACACCGCCCTGCACACACGTTCATGTGAAATCCTGAAAATTAGAACATTGAGTTTGCTCACTTCCTCGACTTCCAGAAATGATTTAGAGGGCAAAACTTGGGGCTTCCACAAAAACCCACCTTCCTTCCAGTGTTACAGAAAACCAAATGAGCCAGGATGTAGCAGAGCAGCAGGGAGACTCAGAAGCAGCATGGAGACATGCTCTGAGGCTGTGGGCTCCGACAGAACATTTAATTGAGTTCAGCCTTTGATAAGAATCCTGCCATTTTCCTAACATTTCCATCCCACCCACCGGGAGCCCATCAGGGTTTATATGCCTGTTTGTTCAAGAGAGAGAGATGAGAGGAGAGCGATGGGGTATGAGGAGGACTCAAGCAGCAAGAACAAAAGCAGAAAGAGAAGAACTGGGAGCAGATATGAGGAGGTGAAAAAAGGAGCACATGACTGGAAAAAAATAACTTAAAGGTCACCTATTATGCAAAATCCACTTGTTCATGTATTTTACACATACACATGTGTCCCCTCTGTGTGAAGAGATTCTGAAAGTTTCAGGACTAAAGATTCCATCACTTTTTGTCCTGGTCTATTTCTATAAAAACCTCTCTGAAAATGAGCTGATCAGATTTTGGCCACTTTATGATGTCATAACGTTTTGTGGCTTGTGTAACCATTAGCCAATCACCAACCAAGGTAACCCCACCCCCCCCTTATCACCTGAATCTCCTCCTAGAGCACCATTGTGTTCTTTCTAACCAAATATCTCTCAGAGGGGCGTGGGGAGTGGCTCCTTATTTTCATCTAAAGTAAAGGACACAGAATCAGCACTTTTGAAACAGGGCTGAAACAGAGGGGATTATGGGATGCTGCAATGATCTGTTTGGTGTTTCAGACAAACACTTCAGAGACATGTTTTGTCTAAAACTGAAACCTATATTGATGAAAAAGAGTATAATAAGGAACCTTTAAGGGGAGTTGGATTACAAATAAAGGAGACAAAGACTGAAGGCACCGATAAAGAAAGATTATAAATAGATAGAGGATGAGATGCGTTCATCACTGCACATCCGGGACGTCCAATCAGGGTGTTGTCATTGCTCCAACAGAGCACGGCAGACAATGACCAGCTGTGACAGGCTACTAGTCTGGAATTGAGAAAGCCAAATCTCATACCGTCAGCCTAAGACACAAATGTCCCCCAGACCCAGTGATATGAATTTATGAAAACAATAATGCCGACCTGGAATCGTCCACTTCAGTGGGGCGCAATGTCTGTGACTGCTGCCTGGAGGCAAACACACACAATGTTGGATGGGCGGGAGGCTCTTTGGAGAGGAGGAAACAAAACAATGTTAACCCACTGAAATGATATGCAATGAGATGCTGCAGCTGTTGGGAAACATATGCAGATGTTGTGAGTTTGTTGTGATGCAGAGTGTGTGGAGGAGGAGAAGTCTGATGTGTGTGTTTGTGTGTGGGAGTTTGTTACACACACATAAGGAGCTATGTACAATATGAGGTTGATTAGATTGAGCTCTGGCTTTGGTTGGTTTCAGACTAATATGATGCAGAAAGTGAATTCATGAATGATTATTAAAATGAAACACTGAACTAACAGTATGCATTTCACGAGGAACAAATGTGACCAAAGTACACAAAAACATCTCATGGTTTTATGGTTTATGCGTGTTTTTAAAGTTTGGATCAAGGATTTAATTGTGGTTTATCTACACATTTTTTAATGAATATCTTGTCTTTCATAGGGAAACTGTGTCTGAGTGTGATCTACTGTATTTGTAGAGGATTTGTAAGGATAGCAGATATCATATTATGTACAGATTTTATTTTTATTTTACACAAATGCTACAAACTCGCAGGTGTTTCCCCTTACTTTGATTTAGTCTGAGGTCTCGTTCGATGCATGGTAAAGGTGAACAATATTTCCTTTATGACTTGAGGGTTTACATCATGAGACAATTCAATATGTGTGTGTCATCGCAGAGGTCATTGTGCGACGGTTTATGATATTGTACACCAACAATGTAGTACTATATACATTACATTTGGACTTGACTGACATAGGGCATGTGTTGCTGAGAAAAGTAAAGCCCTTCTATGAGACCATGTTTATGTGTCTTTGGTGTGTGTGCGGGTGTTCATAAAATCATGTTGCTAATCATACAGCTATCAGTTACAAACACAGGAACAAAGTGTTCATAGATGTTATCCTTTGAGTGTGTGTGTGTGTGTGTGTGTGTGTGTGTGTGTGTGTGTGTGTGTGTGTGTGTGTGTGTGTGTGTGTTTGCCTGCTCTTCAGATCCCCAGCAGACCCCACAGCGAGCTCTAAGTAGCTTTGATTACATTTGGACTCCCTCTGCTCCTCTCCATTGCTTTTAGGATGCAGAGATAATGGTCATTAGCGGAGACGGGCGGGGACTTTGGGAGGCGGATGTTCGCATGTTGCGAAAGTGTGGCTTTAATGGGAAGTGATGGGAGGGTAATACAATTTGGTTGCATTTGGAGCTGTGACCATGGGTTAATTTGAAAGAGCATGTGTGTGCCTGAATGGATACACCGTGACATGCCTCTGTTGAAGGGAAGTGAGGCAAAAGTTAGACACCGCGTTCCTGCGTCTTCTCTTAATTGCACGTTTGAAAAGTCACATATTACGCAACGTGTGTGTGTGCGATTGTTTAGAAGTCGGGTAGTCTATTTATATTTCCAACTCTCAGTAACAATGCCTGTGTGAGGTTTAAATTGCTCATTTTGGAGGAGTTATGGAAATACCCGTACATACTTTTGGGAATAAGATAAGCTATCCATCTCCTCATAAGACTAACGCAGTGAAAGCATTATTATTTCTTTAGTAATGATCTTTTCCTCCTCAGTCTCGTCATCCTTTTTTCCACATGTATTATGTATTATCTACTTTCCCAAAAAAGGACCATAGTCTCACGAAATGTTTTAATTTTTCAAATCATTGATGGGCAACCTCACGTTATTTCAGCTTTGTGCTGAATTCCTCTTTGCTTCCTCCTCCGTTTGAAGCACATCTAAGGCCATGTCTCCCTCCTGCTCTCTCTCTTCTGCTCACAGCACCACACACACACACACACACACACACACACACACACACACACACACACACACACACACACACACACACACACACACACACACACACACACACACACACACACACACACACACACACACACACACACACACACACACACACACACACACACACACACACACACACACACACACACACACACTGTCATGGCTCCCCTACCTCCCACCTGTCACGGCTCATATGGAGAGAAAAGGAAAACTGATATTGGTCTGCATCAGAAGCCCAGATTTCCAAGCATTTATTGTCTTTCTCCATTTATTGTTTTTACCATGCCCTCTTTGGTGTTCTGATGAATTTAAACAAATGTTGTGCAATGACTTGTGGAGATTATAGCTATCAGCTTTTGGTATCCTCTTGATTACAAGACTGTTTCTGTCTTTGCTGCTGCAGTTTCAAGACACTGATTTTCACCAGCTCCATGGTTGTCCTCTAGCTAACCCCTGACCTTTGACCTCGATGATGGTGGTTAGGAAACACAGTGGACCAATGCCCCACTAGGATCGATAAAAAATTACCTTCGCTGATTTTTTCTATTTCATACAGCAGCATGCTAACACCAAAGGTATTCATATAAGACGCCATGACCTCCACTCTCCCTCCTGCAGCCTCGGTGAAGGAACAAACAACCAAACAATGTGCTTAATGCAGATAAAACCTTGGTAGCAGCCTGTTTGGAAAAAAACTTCAGTCCCTGGGTTTGATTATTTAATTTTCTCATAAGTTAATGTGCATAATTTAAAGAGATCAATGTTTTCTTGCCATGGCCCAACCCCCAAAACACTGATTTGGTTTCCTGTTGCTGCTCCCTTCTGAGCTTCTTAAAAGTGTGTTTTAATGAACTTAAATTTCATTTTCAATGAGGATTTCACCTGATTGTTGAAGATAAGGTTGGTTTCATCGGCTTCTGAGAATAAATGTTTTCCCTAGGGGGTTTTTTAAACTGTAATTGCTTCCTGTTTGTTGTCATGTCACACTGTGTCGATCAAGGGGGCTGGGAGTGAAACTGACGCCCGTTGGGGGAGCGCACAGGGCGGGCAGGGCGACGTGAGGACCCGGGTGCTTAAATCTTTTATCTCAATAATGGCCGATTCGGCGATAACAGGATTGGCGTATCCCCACTAGCTCCTGACCCATATTCCCAAAGAAAACGTTTACAGAAGATTTAAGGTGCTCTCTACAGCCGCTTTCCACTGCGCGCAATCTCAGCTCCAGCAGCAGCAGCGGAGGAGTCGTTGCGATCTGGCAGAAAGCATGCAGCCTCCTCCTCTCTGAACGCAGTCAGTGCTCTCATGCCTCCGAGACCCAGCCACCCGCCGTCATTAGCGGACGCCTTTGCAATGAAACCGCTATAATCCAGCCTGCCTTTTCTACTTTGTCTCACTCTTGACTCAATTCACAACGGGGGAAGAAAAAGAAGAGAAACACGAGACGCACTCTTCAATCTGTAAGTTTTCGCGTGTGTCGCACTGGAGGGGAGGAAGCGATGGCAGCCCCGGTGAAAGCAGCTTTGGCTCTTCTGGTTCTCACCGTGGCAAGTAAGTAATCCTTTTAAATCCTCCTACAACGGGACGGGACAGGGGGGCTTCTGCTCTGCCTATGGGACTTTAATCATCACGGTCTTGTCCATTAGAAAATAGCACACTCTCTCTGGGCTCTCAGCATGCCAATGACTATAATAGGTCTGGGAAGTGTTTTGAATATCACGAATTTGAAGGTAATACCAGGCTTATTGGCAGAAACACCAACACTCCGCTCATTTGAGGTAGATCGTAATGCTCAGAAGTGAGTTCTTCAGTTTTGGGGAGATGTTAAAGACACATTTTGACTTAACAGAAGCACGTGATACCGGAAAGCAGGCCGGTGGGGAAAATAGTTGCATGTCCTTGCCTGAGACCGTTAAGCAGGTGATTGTACAGAACAACTCAATTAACTAACTTGCTCATCCTTTAAACAACAAACCCACGGAGTCATAATGTTATTGCTTTTTACGCACATGGTTTTGATGTAGGTGACTGGTGCATTTCTTTTGTACACATTTCCTCTTTCAATCTCGGATGATTTGGCTCTGACTGCGAACACTTGATGACATCTCGTGATGATATTTTGTGTGTGCAGTGTGTGCCAAGGTGATGTGATGATAATACCAGGGACATAATGAAGAGGCTCTGTACAGAGAACGTCAACGCTTCTATCAGATTATGTACCGTACACGTCTTTTCACTTCTGTTTCTTTAAATTGAGGAGCTGTCCACGGCCCTAAATCAGGCCCTGAAGGGGAATCCCATTCAGGAGCTGTCCAGGGTGATGACATGGGATCTCGATAAACGTGTCAGTGCATGATCTGCTGCATCGCTCAACAATTCAGAGCCCCAGTAGGTGGACCACAATGCAATAAACAGGACTTGTTTTATTGTAATAAAGGCATATTGTTTGCAATGTTGTTAGAAATATTAAGTAGTATAGGGGAATAGCCTAAGTTAGATGCATTCTAATAAATACTTGATGGTTAAGAGCAATGGGGGGTGGGGGGATGCAGCAGTCAGGCAGTGTTTACGTGTTACTTGTTGTCCATTTTTGAATTTTGCTTCAGAATTTTAAGCACTTCATGTATGCATCTACATCTTGCATCTATAATCTCACTCAACATCATCACGAGTATGCCTAAGTAAATCTCTCATTTGTAATACTTTCTTCCCCCCCCCCCCTTCTGCCCTCCTTTAAAACAGATCCAACACTGTCTCTGTTTTATGACTTTAATCACCTGTTTACAGCTGAGGCACTGCCTGACTCTGACTCTCTCACTCCTGTAAAACTTCTCCCTGGCTGCTACAGTAAGGACGACTCAATCCAGGCAGCAACTTTATTGACACCTTTCAGTCTCATTCTGTCACACTGCGCCACTCTGCCACATTTATTTCTTCATTTTATCTTGTGTTTTTCTCCTCCTTTGCTGTAACTTATCCGACGTATTGAGTTCCTCATCACACACTCCTCTGTCTCTCCAAGTATCAGCTACTTGATGTTGGTGATGTGCCAATGTGTGCTATACACTTACACCTGATTAGATGTTTTTGCTCATTAAAAGCATGAAAAATGCGTAGGAGTGGAAAAGGAGGAATCACACGCTATCTGTATGGGACAACTCTGACTCTCTGTGGATGATGCTTTACATGTGGGCGGGCAGAAATATGCAGCTCTACGTTTCACCCTGGGGTTCTTTCCAAGAAGGTTGTTTCTCACAACTTCAAAGCTGCTTTCTCATAACTGGAAATGTGTTTCCTGTCAAGTGGCCTCGGCATCAATGAGTCAACACTTCATAGTAAACTATTAGTCATTACTTTGGCACTTTTGTTTGGATGTTGCTCTTTGAATGAGAGAAGTACGTCAGATGAGGTGAGATGTATGTACAGTTTTTAAGCCAGGGAGCGGCATTCAATTTATTTAGAAGAAATATCAGCAGCAATGCATGTAAGGGTAAGACTGAGGGAGCACAGAAGAAAACCGCTTTGTCGACTGCCATTGTCTCTCCTCTAGACAAATAATAAGAATTCATTTATTTTTTTAACATCTTTCATACAAGACATGGAAAACAGAGTGCTACTCAAAACAAAACCGACACGAACTGAACATAAAAACAGGGACGGAATACCGTCATAAATGTATAATAACAATCGAAAACATAGTAAAAACAAGAAAAAGCAGAATAAAAGCGCAAGATGGATCGGTTGGGACAGATAAAGACTATCATTGTAGTCAAAGTGTATTTGATTCTATCCTCACCCATTAAAGATACATCCACTGTCTGTGATGATAGAATGTTTGATGGGAAACAACCAACAGAAATCTCAGGTCAAGTCTCTCTGGCAGTAGACACACTGTGAGCTAAGTGTCAGAAGCTGATGCAGCAGATTGCTATGAGTGGCCTGTGGCTTTCTCTTACAACATGCCTGATATGGGCAGTGAACTGAGCAAAGCCAAAGACAGCTGAATTCAATTGTTTTGGCCTCAGTAAGACCGCCCCTGATAGCAAGGCATTTCATCATTTACAACCCTAAAAGAGAACCTGCAGGAGGGAGCGTTTGGATGGTTTCCTCTCTGTACACTGGACTGATGACACAGCCCGTCTATCCATCTGCGTTACAAACACAGCAGAGACACGGCAGCTTGTCCAGATGTTTGTGTTGTGGCACGATTCAAACACATTCTGCATGCTGCGGTGGAGACGATACGTTAAGTTGAACTGGTTTAGAAAGAGTATGAGAATAATCTTTGATTGTGGTTGAGTGTCTGCTTGTGAGATGATGGCATTTTTATTTTAGAGCCAATTAATTATTGAAGTGTGGAGAGTGGCGAGGTGCACAGGAGTGTGTGTGTGAGTGTGTGCATACACGTGTGATGGGACCTGCTGGTAGACTCCGTCTCTACTTACATCCACATCTCATTTGAACCCCAACATCTTTTTTTAGCCTTAATATCAGAGCCCTTACATCACTCTATACAGCCCATGCTGCGCTGCCTCCTCAGTCCTCTCCACTGGTGCCATCAAGTCATTGATCGCTCACAGTCTAGTAGCTTCTTGCGCCGGGTTTAGCTTTATGCCAACCTCTTTAACTGTTTAAGGCAATACGACATTTGTATTCCTCTCTGGCAGAAATCAACGCGCAGCCAGAAAAAAGCAAAGGCTGAAGCCACTTCCGTAAAGATCAGTTGGCGGGTCATAATGGTTTTAATAATGGTTTGATAAGTTGGAGTTTTTCGCAATATATGTGACTTATTTTTGTTTTAAACTAAACCAAGCATCCAACAATGTCTGCTGTGTGATAATGTCAAAGGACTACTCCAATGATATACTATTTGTAAAGTGAGGTGATAATAAATCAATGGTGAATGTAGCGCAGGGGGTAAAATACGTGGGTACCAATCAGAGGATCACCAATTTGATCGTAGCCCCTGCAGTCAACATGTGAAAGGGCCCTTGGGCTCCCATATGCATGTTATTCTAAGTTGCTTTGGATAAAAGCATTAACTAAATAACATGTCATGTGAACTGATGCAGCATCCAAAATGTCCTTATTTAATGTCCCTATGGGTCAGAAACGCAGATAATATCATTATTTCTTTTTTGAATCTCTGCCCGGTCGTTGCCTGTGCCTTTCAAACTCCACTAGCCCGATGCTAATGCAGACTCTCTGCAAGCCATCAATGTCATAGGGGTTTCTTTTCCTGAGTTCAGACTTTTGGCTGCCAGTCTAAAATGAACTTCATGTCAAGATCACAGGTACAGGTACAGGTACGGGTACGGGTACAGGTACGGGTACGGGTACGGGTACGGGTACAGGTACAGGTACAGGTACGGGTACGGGTACGGGTACGGGTACAGGTACAGGTACGGGTACGGGTACGGGTACGGGTACGGGTACGGGTACGAGTACAGGTACAGGTACAGGTACAGGTACAGGTACAGGTACAGAGCTTGGCGGAAACGACAAGACAATCTGGCAAAGGACCAGTGATAGTGAGGTGGTATAAATACTGTGGAGTGATGAGGGAATGAGTAACAGGTGAGGGGAAGGGCTGGGGAGACCAGGTAAGGGAAGTGAGCTGATTACAAGGGCCTGGAGGAAGGCGGGATCTGAAATGACAGGAGAGTTTGGATGAGCCACCAAACAAACAATAATAGAAGTGTCTAACTTGTGACAGAACCCCCCCCTCTATGGACGGCTCCTGACGTCCCACGTGGAAGGGCCTGAGCCTGGTGAAAGTCAGTAATGAGAGATGGGTCACTTCATCTGAGACACTCAGATGAAAAGTCTGATTATTCAAAACTTAAAAAGGAGGCAGTTTATTTTCCACGTTTGTTTTTTGTTTCCTTAACCAGCGCAATTAATGATTGTAATTGAATAACTAATTAGGTTCCTGACAATTCGGTAAACTGTGTGGCTAACTATTTGCTTGTCACTGCTCGGTGGATTTAGCAGCTATTGCTTTTTATTGAGGCTTTAATCGTATTAACCAAAGCACAATGACAAATAATGCTGAAACAATGAGCTGGACTAACAGGATTTATAGAGTGTGACCTCAAATCCCAGTCAACCAAAATCACACTAGTTGCAATACAAAAAATCGGTGTGCCATTGTGCAGCAGTTTGCTCCCTCGTTGCATATAAACAATGATTTGTTTCCAGGCTGTCATCCCCTTAAATGACTCAGTGATTTCCCATGAACCCCCACCATAATACGGCATGATCCTATTTCCTTTTATCAGATGATTATACTAATCTGGGAATTGTTTTGTCCCCCACTCTGTGTGCAGTTGTTTGTTGTTTATTGTGTGTGTCTTTTGTCCTCTTCTCCTCTCATGTGTCGTCGCCTCTTCTCTCTGGCTAATCCTGACAGACAGAGCTCTGGGTTTCAGAGCTCTCTTAAGACATATACCCTTGAGGTTTATTGTCATGGTTGCTCATATGTCGGACACTCCTCTTATCTCCTCTTCATATAGAAGCCTGCAGGAGCTTAATGTGGACTGACCGAGTGGAGAACATCTCTCTCTTTCCTGCACCTGCCTTTAAAGCTCAGCGCCTCTTGCATCAAGTTTTATATGACAGAAAGACATGGGAGTTGGCATTGTTGCTAAAAGCAAAGCAACAATGCTAAGTGCCAACATAATAAATATTCATATTTGTCCAAAGCTGCCAACTGCACAGCTTTCAGATACTCAGGTATATTGTTTACGTCAGTTCAGAAGTGTTTGCATTTGTTTCTATATGAACGATTGACTATAACACAATATCTTATACAGCTATACAGCCATACAACTGTATAGCTGTCACATGCTAGGCTGGTTCAGTGTGAAACAAACAGCATAGACTATTTGAAGCATTCAGTTGATATTTATTTTGGTTCGAGGGGATTTTGCCCTGACCAGACAAAGGCTGACCACAACTTTGTCTGTGCTCGTTGGGCTCAGGACAGATGTGCCTTCGAGTAGGCTACATAATAGATGACTGACAGTTCTAATCTTTCACTGCGACATCAAAACAAGCTCTTCTCAGACACCTGCGTGGACACTTGCTGACTCATCTGTCTTCTGAATCTTAAATGGTTGCTTCCAGATGTAGGTCTCCATAGAGTCCTGCCGTGTGAGGCTTAGTTCTCTAACACATAGATATCCTGTTGCTCACACAATGCCAGCAAAAAAGTGAATTATATTTATTTTTCATTCTTGAAATGTTGTTCTCTATCGCTCTTTGTGAGGTTACTTCCAGTTGTCCTTGTTAAATGATTTGTTTTGGTGGATTTTGCCTTATTGGACTCAAAGGGTCTAAGGACAGAGGTTGGCTGTACATCTCCTTAGGAGGCAGACAGAAAGAAAAAGACAAAAAACAGGAGGCAAAGGTAGAACAATATCCCAGAACAACAAATGCCAAAGTACAAGAACAAGGAGCGACTGAATAAACTGTTGCTGAACACAGCCCAGACAACAGGTGATATAATGACTATTAGACAGTGGAAGAATATGAATTCACTGCGTCAGTGACACATATTATTACTACAGTGCTTAGCTAAATGTAAAGGTCCGGAGAAAAGTCTCAGTACATATGGAGATTAGTTGGTTTACTTGTGATGTATTCATATTCCCGAGACACCTACAGATTAAGATTCATCTCAATTATCATACCATACTGCCATTATGCAGACTATAGTCCTTTTATGTAATCCACCTCCCACTATTTTCTTTCTTGTCACCCTCTAATTTATATTGTCCCGTTAGCAGGAAAGCCGTAGCCAACAATCATTTCAAGATAAGTGCACTCATGGAGCACAAACAAGGCGGTCACAAAAGCCTCCCAAAGAAAATGGGACATAACAACAGATAAAAGAAAACAGGAAAGAACAGAAACAAGACAAACACAAGAGCAAAGGCTTTTAAATGAAAGCAGGTGTGACAGGGAGTGCTTTTTGGGTTGTACCTGAGCACAAAGAAAGCAAGTTTAGTGTTTCAACTTTCATCAGAGGGACAGCAGAAAAGGAGATATGGTGGAATCAGAGTCGCTCAGTTCTAATGTAACATTTCCAAAGCAAGGGACTTTGATATTTTCACAAGTTTAAATAAAAAGTCTGACGACGTTCGTGTTTGAAAGCAGCCACCATCACTGAAGCTCTGTGACCCACTCAGACATCTAGCTTTGTTGATTTAATGAGTGAAATCAACTGTGGCTCTGTGTGTGTGTGTGTGTGTGTGTGTGTGTGTGTGTGTGTGTGTGTGTGTGTGGTGTGTGTGTGTGTGTGTGTGTGTGTGTGTGTGTGTTGTGTGGTGTGTGTGACTCAAATATGAGTCACTACTATTGTAAAATGTAGATTAAGTGTGTTGTTAACATCCAATGTTTTCACTGTAGGTACACTATTGCATCCTGTGATCTTACAAACATATCCAAGTAACACTTACTGTTACACACACACACACTTACAAAATGACTTGTGTCATTTGATAACTTTTATTTATGCTCAAAACAAGCGGAAGTCTAAAGTCTGCTAAACTTCTTCACCTAACTTCTATTTGTTTATCTCCCAATTATGCTTTAGATGCGCCCTGTATGGTATTGTGCAAATTATTGTAACACCCCAGATACTTTAACCTGTTCTCTCCAACAACATCACACCTCTCTCCGATATTATTCATCCCAGTAGGCTGTAGAGCAGGAACGATGAACTAAAGGTTGCATCAACTTCAAGGCTTTACTATTGATTTCTACACTCGTCTGTCAAATCAAACTGAGCCCATCCCTGAGACCCCCCCCTGCTTTTGGCCCCAGGTGTCTGGTCCCCCTAACTGATGGTTCAGGACATCCACATTGTTCAATCTGGGGCAACATCAACTATCCGTGCATCATCTCCATACTCACTCCACTGACATGATGAAATTAGAGAAGGCATTGCAGGCAGTTGTGCACAGCTGTAGTTTTACATTTTTGGCAAGGTGTCCAACAGATTGAGATTACATATCAACTCCATTGTTTGAGCTAGAGGTGGTCAAACAGTGGAGAACCAACAGCGTGAATATTTTTATTCTAATATGCAGGTTCTCGTGGTACATGTGTTAGACCAATGGATTAGTTAACAGTCACTCATCATCATAATTTCACTTTCTAATTTGTGTGTGTGTGTGTGTGTGTGTGCGTGTGTGTGTGTGTGTGTGTGTGTGTGTGTGTGTGTGTGTGTGTGTGTGTGTGTGTGTGTGTGCAGCTGCCTTGTGTGCGGAGGTGGAGGAGCGTCTGGTGAGTCACCTGTTGTCATCAGATCGCTACAACAAGCTGATCAGACCAGCTGTGAACAACAGCCAGCAGGTCACCATCTACATCCAGGTGTCTCTGGCCCAGCTGATCAATGTGGTGAGGAAACATACACTCAATGCAAATCCGCAAATGCTGTTATCATACAGGCATATCCTGCTGATTTAGGATTCTTCAAGGGCGCACATGGTGGAGATTATTGCACTGAAATGAGTTCACCCTCTTCCTGTCTGTGTTTCAGAACGAGAGGGAGCAGATCATGACCACCAACTGTTGGCTCAGTCAGGTTTGTTTCTTTTTGTGCTTGTTTGTATCCAGATGTTTAAAATTAAATAAGAAAATCCTTTATTAGTCCCACAGCAGGGAAGATGGCTGTGTTATAGCAAAGGAGATAGTGAAACAACAAGAGGCATCAGTTTAAAAAATGTCATTTCATAAATAAGTAAAGGTGGAAAGCTAAATATAACATACACATAGTGAACGGTTGAATTCACAAAAAGCATTTTCTTTTGCCAGATAATGGCTGACTGAACCACGATGTTGATTGTATGGTGCCACAGTGAAATGTTTGCTTCTGGTCGCAAATATATTTATGAGTGTGATTTTTGATAAATGTCTGTCTTTTTGTGTGTGTGTGTGTGTGTGTGTGTGTGTGTGTGTGTGTGTGTGTGTGTGTGTGTGTGTGTGTGTGTGTGTGTGTGTGTGCATTTGAATGAATCCTATTTCTTCTTCTTTTCATCAGGTGTGGAATGACTACAGATTAATGTGGGACCCTGAAGAGTACCAGGGAATCAAGAAAATCCGACTCCCGTCACAACACATCTGGCTGCCAGACATCGTCCTCTACAACAAGTAAGTCTGATTTGTGAGATGCAGAATAAGGGTGTGTGTGTGTGTGTGTGTGTTTGAATAAGTGATTACAAGAGGAACAAACACAGCGAGCAACTTTAATCAAAAGCCCCATCTTCCTAAAATGTTTTCTCATCCTCTTATTCCTTCTACCCTCTTATTGCACTTTCACTTTTCAACTCTTTTAGGGTAATGAATGCAACCAACATGTTCTGTTAACACTGTCTAGACTGTATGATGCAGACAGTCTCATGATGATGAGTGCTCTTTTTGGGGATGAGAGATTACAGGTTTTAAAAAGAGGGAGAGGGACATAGTCATGTTATATAATCTACAGTTTAGACTTGCATCCCCATTGCATGCCGTCACACCTTTGATGACTGAAGCCCACGTCAAGTGATTACATTTACATGTGTGGAAGAAATAAAAAAGATGGACAGAAAATTGCACACACCTTGCAAACATCCAAATATGGTTCGGATTCATTTCACAATTTACATTTTATTAAAACAATATATCATTAATAATAAACTGCTTATAGAAATCAATGCACTATCATGTCCTTAATACACATTTCTCTGCACATCCCTTTACATTATTATGTGTTTTGCAGATTAAGCAGGAATGCACAAAACATCAAATCATCTTGCAGCTGTAAGAAATCGCCGCAAGGAAAAATCAATCCATGAGAACGCTGCGTTAAGTTCACCCAAGGAGCAATGATCCCCACGGCCTTTATCCATGGAGTGTAGCTGGCAGACACAAAGGCATCCCCTATCACCATAGAGGTCGACACGAGGGTCTGTTTGACATCTGATAGTTTACTGTGTTACATTACCGTTTACAAAATAAATAAAATAGAGTTAAGAGTCTTTGCTCTTGTGTCTAATCACATTAATGTAACAAATTAACTTTTACATTTTACTTTGGCATTGATGAATTTATTCGGGTCATATATGGCTAATATGTTAACTTTAGATTTTCTTTTTTATACTTTTGCCCTTTAAGTTAAGCTTCCATGCAAAATCGCATTTTCAATTACTTTGTGAGGAAAACATATTTTCTACAACATTAAGTTTAGTTTACTGTATGACAAATATGTTTTAACCAAGTCTGCTTGGTAGATGAATCAAACACACTTACTTTACTGACTTTTACCCAGGAGGCGCTTGTGGTCCGTGTGAAACAAGCCATGTTTGATTAATTAATTAAACTCCTTGGCTCTAATAAGGTCACAGACGTACTTATTGTAAGCTCAACCAGCTTTACAACGTTAACGACAGGTTTAAAATCACGTCCATAATCTGGGAGAAAATAAGATTCGCTCTTTACATAATGAGAATGTATTTTAGTCTTACCTGAATGTTATTTGTGATGACAAAGGGTTGCTAGAACATATAAACACAGCTGTGTGGACGTGTAGCTTTTGGTCAGCAGTTACCCTACAGTTTATACAGAAGTGGTAATCATTCAACTTTTATGAAGCAGATTGCTGGTCAGCTAAAGACCACATACAGAGCATTAAGAGGCAGAATGATATCAGAGGATCAGCACTACTTTAAAGCATCAGGTCCAGGTCTCTGGCCAAGTTTGGGGGACACTGGGTTGCAGGAAGCAGGTGGAGCCTCTGCATTTTCAATTAGTCTGCATATTCACAGAAGGGCCGAAAGCATTAGAGACCGAGTGTGATGGTTGGATTCCTGACCTGCTTTATAATTGATAGGCCACTTATCTATAATGCATCAACTTGAGCCTTGAAAAAAGACAGTCTCAGCAGATTTGAGGTGGGGAGGGGCAGTTGTTGTAATGTTGCTGGGATGTCTCCCACTTTGAGTTCCTCCTTTGAGATGATCGTCACCCATCCTTTAAGGGTTAACTGTTGCACGCGTCACCTCGGCAGCGCTCGATGACAGTCATTAAATCATTTTACTCATCACTTGACTCTTGATGATATTGCTGTAAAGCTTCTGTTTCTGTCAAAATGTACACAGGTGCCCTGATACATTGGGGCCATCCCAAGATGAAATCATTGAAAGATGACATTGATTTAAAAAAGACAAATAGTTGAGTGGTTATCGTTGAAGAGGTTTATGTGTTAAAGTCACACTACAGTAGCTGATCAGCTGCTCCATCACAACTAGGGTTGCAAAGGGGCAACATTTCCGGTAAATTTCCGGAAAGTTTCCATGGGAAGTTAAGCTGGGGAATTTTGGAAATATTCGATGCAAAATTAAACAAAAAACATGACATTTAAACAGATTTTTTTTTTTAAGTAGAACAGAACAAGTTTTAATTATTTTATTGAACAATTATTTGTTTCATTGAAGAACGCAAACAGGAATGTTGAGTTCAATATTACTCATCCCCCCCAATCCCACTCATTAAAAAATGAACAAAAATTCACCCCCCATCCAAAAATCCCCACAATGTCCCATTCAAAAATGTTAAATGAAAAGAGCCCTTCTCCCTCCAAAAAGTCCCATTAAACATGCAAATCTTCCTTCAAGCAATCCTCTGCATTTTTGCTTAACCCTTTCAGTCAAAGGGCTCTTCCTGGGCCTCATCAACATCCAACTCTGAGTCTTCCTCTTCAGTGTCACTGTCCAGCCTTGTTGAGGATGGCTCTGTGTCAGGCTCAGAGAGCCTTAGGTTTGCCCGAATGCCAACCAGTTTTTCCACTCTCACATTTGTGAGCCTTTTGCAAACCTTTGTGTGATCTCAATAGCCATGCAGTAAGCAGTGTGCTATGGCATGGATATTCAAGTGTACTTGAATGGCATCTGTTTGTTTTAGTCAAGATTATGCTAAATTATATTTTCCCCAACTACACTGAACAAAAATATAAACGCAACACTTTTGTTTTTGCTCTCATTTTTCATGAGATGAACTCAAAGATTTAAAACATTTTCTATATACACAAAATAACCATTTCTCTCAAATAGGGGGTCCGAAAACCAGTCAGTATCTGGTGTGAGGGGTAGGGTTAGGGTTAGGGTAATGTTGTGAATCGAGTGGCCCATGGTGGTGGTGGGGTTATGGTATGGGCAGGCGTATGTTATGGACGACGAACACAGGCCACTCGATTCACAACATTACCCTAATCCTAAACCTAACCCTACCCCTCACACCAGATACTGACTGGTTTTCGGACCCCCCCAATAAAGCAAAAATGCACGTTTCAGAGTGGCCTTTTATTGTGGCCAGCCTAAGGCACACCTGTGCAATAATCATGCTGTCTAATCAGCATCTTGATATGCCACACCTGTGAGGTGGGATGGATTATCTCGGCAAAGGAGAAGTGCTCACTATCACAGATTTTTTAAGATTTGTGAACAATATTTGAGAGAAATGGTTATTTTGTGTATATAGAAAATGTTTTAGATCTTTGAGTTCACCTCATGAAAAATGGGAGCAAAAACAAAAGTGTTGTGTTCATATTTTTGTTCAGTGTATATTTAAGTTCCCTATGAAGAGCCAACCTTCAATTTAGAAAATTCCCAGTTTATTCCCGTTAATTCCCATGGAAAGTTTCCATCTTTGAAAATTCCCGGAATTTTGCAACCCTAATCACAACCACCTCTTTTTAAGCTAACCTGTTGGTATTATTCATTTAACCAAAACTGAATATATGTCTTGAGCTGAATTTGTTCCGTGAGTGATGAAAGAAGTATTCTCGCAGCTCTACTCGGACTTCTCCACCTTGTTCCTAAACCTTCCATAAACTTGTAAAGATGTGTTTGTGTTTTAATGTGTGAGAGACATTCTTTACATTTGAGTGCCTTGACTTCATCTTTCTCCTTTATTTTGCTTACCTCCCAAACGTTCCTCCTCTCAGTGCTGATGGGACCTATGAAGTCTCCTTCTACTCCAATGCAGTGGTCTCCAACAACGGCGAAGTGGCCTGGCTCCCACCAGCTATCTACAAGTCGGCCTGCAAAATTGAAGTCCGTGATTTCCCTTTCGACCAGCAGAACTGCACCCTCAAGTTTCGCTCCTGGACCTACGACCACACTGAGATAGACCTCATCCTCCTCAGTGATTTCGCCTCACGTGACGACTTCAAACCCAGCGGTGAGTGGGATATTGTTTCCCTGCCTGGCCGCAAGAACGAAGACCCGAACGACATCAGGTACCTAGACATCACCTATGACTTTATTATCAAAAGAAAGCCTCTCTTCTACACCATCAACCTGATCATTCCCTGCATCCTGATCACGTCTCTGGCTATCCTGGTGTTCTACCTCCCGTCAGACTGTGGTGAGAAGATGACGCTCACTATCTCCGTCCTCCTGGCACTCACTGTGTTTCTACTCCTTATCTCCAAAATTGTGCCACCCACGTCTTTGGCAGTGCCTCTGATCGGAAAGTACCTGATGTTTTCTATGGTACTGGTCACCTTCTCCATCGTCACCAGCGTTTGCGTGCTCAACGTGCACCATCGGTCCCCCAGTACGCACACCATGCCTCCGTGGGTGAAGCGTGTCTTCCTGTACCGGCTCCCCTCTTACCTCTTCATGCGGAGACCCGGCAGCTCCAACATCCGTGAGAAGTTCAGGAGAAAACACCAACAGAGATCCTACTCTGACCAGAAGATGTGTGATGGTGGCCATGCAGGGATGGCAGATTCCTCCTCATCCTTCTTTGTCAACGAGGAGTCGGCCAAACGCTACGGCTGGAGAATCAGCGACATGTCAGATAACACAGAGTTCAGGAAGAGGATGACGCTCAAGAGAAACATTGACGTGGAAGATGCAGTAGATGGAGTACGCTACATTGCTGACAAGATGAAGAGAGAGGATGATGATGAAGGGGTAGGTTTATCTGCATTTGCATTTATGTAACAACTTTAAATATGTGCAACATGCTTTGAAGGCCTTTCCTTCACCTGCTTATTGTTGGTCTGGTCTGCAAATATTGATTTCCAAGGTTTCATGTTCTTTGTAGCACTTATGCTACGTGATGGATTACTTGATGTAATCTACGTCATATGTGGTATGGAAATAATTCTGTTGGCGTGTTTGCCTTTCTTTCAATTGCTCAATTAAAGACTGTTATTGTGCATTACTGTAGGAATAACACATGTTGTACATTGTTGTACATTGATAGTGATTTATTTGCACTTCATGTGATTAAACGGCATATGTATTACATTATTGCGCATGAGAGAAAATAGCCACAACATTGGTAAATACCTAATCCGCTCTGGTATGCAATGCTTGCCCTCAGAGCAAATCCATCAACAGCTTTAATTCAGTTATTTGTGACTTGATTTGTGTGCCCTTCATATTATGTCAAAGCAACTTTACTGTGCTGTCAGCCAAAAATAATTAGATTAGAAATGAGCAGCACCAGAGACAAAACATATTATTCAAAATAAACAAAATAAACAATTCACAGTGCACCTAAGTTCAGGGCATTAATCTATAGCAGCATTCAAAATCTTTCTCTCTCCACAGATAATTGAAGACTGGAAGTACGTGGCCATGGTGATCGACCGTCTCTTCCTGTGGATCTTCGTGTTTGTGTGTGTGGTCGGGACGCTGGGTCTCTTCATGCAGCCTCTGTTCCAGAACTACTACACTCCCCTTGTTGATGAGTAGGACAATACATGAAAGCTGAAACGTCGTTATGAACTAACTTCACCCCTCGCCCCTCTGAACAGAGCTCTGACAACATTTTAAAACATAAACCTGTCCGTCTTGCACCACACGCTCAATGCACTTTAGACCTCTTCCACCACCTTCTCCCCTCCTTACTTCCACTCTGACATCCTCCATGTGTCCTGCCATCCTCTGCTCCACTCTGCTAGGCAAAGGCAAACAGTACATTATAACCAGATGGACTTACTTTTGGACTACCTTAGTTGTTTTTCATGATATCATAATAAAAAAACACAATGGCCAGCTATAAAAACAAGCACCAGGTTATAATTAACCAGAATTATTGTTTAATTCAAACAAAAAATAAAGCAGTCTTTCATCATATGCTCTTCCTTGGGGATCGATACAGGTCCAATGATTGACATATAGCAGCATGGATACATAAAGGTGTATTGACCCACATTGCAGTTCAAAAAGGTTTACTGGACAACAGCAACTCAGGACTGTTTCCATTTAAAACTGATTTTGTTTAGCTATGTCTCTCTGTTTAAATATCAGATATCATGCCATTATGGGGCCTGAATGCATTCAAAAAAGTTCAGTTCAGTTTTTTTTTCTCAAAGACAGACGAAGATCACCTCTCTTGGAGCTTTTGCCAATAGTACACTATATACAAACGTTTGCCTTTCAAATCGGACCGAGACGGCACACAAACTGTTGGACTGCTCAAATAACAATAACAATGGATGTGTGTGCGACGTGTTTTTACCCTCACACAAACCTCACTGTGAGACTGATCCAATGTAAGCTGCTGCTGTCATGTTTAAAAGCAGCTTTGTTTTTAAATAAAGGAGGGACGTTACAATAACAAGCAACACTTTAAACCAGTGGTCCCCAAACTAAGGCCCGCGGGCCGGGTACGGCCCGCCTCCACATTTGGCCCGGCCCCCTGAACAATACCAGAGACGCATTATGATTTTTTTTTTTTTTTTTTTTTTCAGTCTGGCCACGCGAATCCTAGACTAGCCCCTGTCAAAATGTTGTGACCTGCTCTATCGAAATCAGTCGCATTGACCCGAAGACACCTTTTGAGTTGTATACACTGTTGGAAAGAGGATATTCCTAGCTTTCTAATGATATCAGGATTGTTTTTGTACTTCAAATATTAAGCGAAATATGTCACATTATATAATGACTGTCACCGAGTCATCATTTTGAGAAAAAGGCCTTCAAAGTTCTCTGGAATCCATCGATCTGATTGATTATTAGCGGAGCAAATGATCAAAATACTACCGAGGGAAGATATTTTCGTTTGGAGGGGAAGCTCGCGAGTGTGTGTGTATACGTGTGCGTGTGTGTGCTTGTGTAATTTTGCGTTTGTGTGTATTGTGTTTGTTTCCTGGGGAAAACACTCACGAGAAACACCGGCTGTTGTTATGCCTGCCGTTCTCCGCTTGTAATTATGCCGAAGCTTCAAAGTTGTATTTATCATCTGAATTTGCCGAAACAAGTTTAATATTCTGAAAGCCAAGACTTTGTTTAATTGAAATCAGATGAAAACAAACTGTAACGGACCCTGCAGTGTTATCTATGATTACTGTACTCTTACATTCATAATTTCAGCGGAGTGAGGGGGGGGGGGGGGGCGGCGCTGCGGAAGAGCAGATTGCGAGTGAGAAATAAATAGGAAATAAAAGTTTCATATTCTGAAAGCCAAGACTTTGTTTGTTTAAAATCAAACAAAACACCCGAACCCCGAAAAAAATTGTTTTTTTTACGTAAATCCACGTTTATTTTGAGAGATTCTGCTCTGACAACTAAGCTAAACTTTTACCTGTTAAGATTGTGCACGGCACAACAGAAAGTTACAGTAATTTTCAATGGACTTTTTTCTGTGAAGAACCCAGAGAGGGTTATTTGGTTATTATTTATTTCATAAATAGTGTTATTTATTTCATTAATAGTGTTATTATTTATTTCCTGACTTTTTTTCTGTGAAGATCCCGGAAAGGGTTATTAATATTTGGTTATGTGTGGCTTTCTAGAAAACAATAAATGTTTACGTTTAGACACCCATGCGATCGTCACACTTTTTCTGTTACAAACTGACCCGGCCCCCATCAGAGAAGGGAAAAGTTATGTGGCCCTCACAGGAAAAAGTTTGGGGACCCCTGCTTTAAACCAATGACCATTAGGCTGTTGATACTCACCATGCTCCTTTTTAAAAGGTACATTACTCTCGTTTTATCAAAGTTGTTCTTGTCAGAATCCACAATCAAGGAAACCAGCAGCAATAACATTGTACAGTATTTTATACAGCTTGCTTTATCCTTCCTCATATTGTAAGCCCTCGCAGTCTGCTCTCAGAGACATTACTTGAATATGTGTTCAGTGATTATTTCCAAGAGGTATTATATAACTAGTCACCGTCTTAATGCACTCGTCTGTCACTGCTACCAATGTTGGCCGAGGAGACGTGTACTGTACTGATCCAGCTGTGTTGATTTCTTCCAACTTGGATTTTTGATGGAATGAAACATACTTCTTTCTTTTATTCCCATAGGTCCAGTCATGTTGTTGAGTTTTCTATGTGCAGACAATACATGTTGAGATTGACAGGAAGGGACTGTGATGACTTAATAACTGGATCAATAAAGTGAAATGACAGTAACAAGCAAACCTGATGAATCATATGAACATGAATTGGTTATTCTATCCTGCAATCTTTCATTCAGAATTATAAACATGTCTGAGTTTCTTTATTACATTTAAGTTGTTACTCCTTCCATCTCTCCTATAGCTTCACTTAACAGTTCATTTGAGAATCAGCATGTTTAGGACAAGACAAAGTAAAGGCTTAAATATCCCCCAGGCTCTTTTTTCCCACAACACACAATTTTAGCAATGGTGAGAAGATTCAAAACCAAGAACAATCTCCGGCAGGTTGGCATTTTGGACAGAGCTTCGGAAGTGTATGTCCTCTACACTCCGAGGCCACAGGTACATGTAAGTCAGCTGACAGAGACCTCATTAGACAGTATTTTATATACAATATTTGTAATCACGTGATAGCAGTTTCTGTGTCTTCATTTTTTTAAGGTTGGTTTTTCCAGGAAACAAATGTTTATGAATTCATTTTAAAATACGTAACATCTGCATTCATTTCCATTAAGAGAATATCCACTCGAGGGTGAGAGGTGCTGATGGGCGGAGTGGAGCTGTTCTTGGTGTTAATATGTCCTTTTTCTGGTTTCTGAACATCATACACATTTCATTTGGATTGGTCTCGTTGTTTTCTCTTTCATGATTCTTGGAACCCTCTGGAGATTTATATTGAATTGTCTCAATACAAATCATGTATTATACAACCTGGGCAGTGGTCATAATTCACCTGCATCCAGGGATGTCTCGCTCGGGTCCATCAAGGGATGCTAGGCAACGTACAAAATCGTGACATTTTATAAATGAGTCATCGGTTACATTAAAAGAACATTAGGTGAAATGACTCTTAAGTCTAGAAGGAATCCATTCACTGTACCAAAAGGGCCAATTTCTCATGTCTTAAATAATTTAAGGTAAAAAGAGAACATTCAGCCACAGAGTCATTGTTATGGTCTCCAGGTCTAATCATGGAGCGTGACGGAGGAGATGAAACTGAATGAGTGAGGAGGGCTTCCAGCAGAGTGGGAGGGAAGAAGAGAGACAGGTGTGATGAAGGGAGGCAGGGATGAAGAAGGTTGGCCATAAACAAGAGACATTAGACCTCTGCAGTTTGTTAGGGGGCAGAAGAGCCAACATTAAAGACCGCTTCATGCTGCAGATCGAGATCGATAAGCATTTATTCTTCTCTGCAAGACAGACCCAAATGCGTACAGACATATATAATGTTTGCCTTACAGAAAGTCAATCAGAGGCAGTCAAGCAATCACATGCTAATGTGTATTTATTGCATATTTTATGGTAGATTTCTCCAAAATATCAGATTTTTCATAGGGATATGGGCAATGACACTTTTTGTAAGTTTGACTTTAAAATTCCAGTCACAAAAGTTAAAGCTGGTTCATCTTAGTTTACTTTAAAGGAGAGCAGTACATGAGGACTTGTTTGCCACTTAATTCAGGAGTTTGATTGACAGAAAAAGCGACCTATCGCTTTCCAGTCTGTTAACCCAGAATGCAAAGCGAAAAACAGTGCCGGGAAAACATTCACATTCAAAGGTTATTTGCCTTATTTGTAAAGCAAGCGTCGCTCTGCCAAAGAAAGGTAACGTGGAGAGGCATTATCGGAGTGTTCACAAGGCATATGACAGCGACTTCCCTCCGAGTAGCGAGTTGAGAAAGGTCATGTATTATTGCTACAAATACATTATCTCGCAGTCTTAGTGTCGCCAACTTGTTTCTAACATGCAAAAAGACAAAAAAAATGCGTCTATGGTCGGTGTATTTTCGACCTTTCCAATCCAGACGAGATCTCTCTCTCCCGTCTGTGTGCGAGGGGGCGGGGCAGTTTACACACACTCGGCTGCTACATGCAGCAACAGCAACACACGGAGGAGATGGCGGAGAGAAGCGCTCCAAGGTGTGGTTAAATGTTACCCGTCTTGAGGTGGACAATGCTCGTTGCCAAGAGTGTTTAGCATGTAAGGGCGGTAACACGAGCAATTTGTCTAAACATTTAGCAAAAGTGCACCACATTCAGACGGAGGAATGCACCGGGTTCGACTATCTTTCTAGCAGCTCTGTAGCCCATCCACGAGTAACGTTTCCACGTCTGGTGTTATGTATGCTAGCAGCAACACACGGAGTTAACTACATTATACAAACATGGGTTAATGATTAGAGGTAACAGAGTTACTCTTTATTTTGTTAAAGTTTCAGCTATTCTGTTTACAGTTCTGTCATCAGATTATTTAATACGATTTGTTAAAACATTGTTGTTTCTTTTGATGTGAAATATTATTTATTTTATTTAAATAAAGACCAATGTTAATTTTGTTCACAATTTGTTAAGTTAATTTAATTATGTGTGTATTTTTAAATCAAGTATTCATCTTTATTGTTTTCATTGTTAGTTTCCACATGCCTAAAACAACCTCAGGCTAAATCTAAAAGTTGATGGCTAAATAAGAGCGTTTGAGAAATTGTGCAAGGCATACAGTAATAGTCCGAATAGTCGATTAATCGTTTCATTAATCAATAGATTAATCGATTATCAAATTAGTCGTTTGTTGCAGCCCTATTGTAGTTATCCCATGTATAAATAAAACGTGTTATTCAGCAACCCTTGCAATTTGGGATTTTATTTTTGGTTGGTAGACCTCGGTGAGCTGGTCATTTCAAAAGTAGCTCACCAGCCAAAAAAGTGTGGGCACCCCTGATCTAGATCCTCTGTCTCGAGCCAGTGAACTACCGGGCCTTCTAGAGTACCCTGGAACTGAGGGAAACTCTGAAAGAATACGCCCATTGGCTACAAATCAATATATGATTGGTTGATCAAACTGTCAGTCCAAACGTACGCTCTCATTCCAACATGTTCTCACTCCCAACCCGTCACATGTTGACGGACGGTCAGGGCCCCTCCCCATCACTCTATTACGGACAAGGGACCCCTTGGAAGTCAGTTTTCAATGGGCAGGGCGTCCCATTGACTTGCATAGAGCTCCCTGAACGTTGGTAATAGAGGAGTTGGGATCGCGGCAAAATGCTCTCCGCAGATCCATTCTCACAGCGTTTATCAACCTTTTTCTTACTCAATATCAAGCCACACTTATTGTTTTTACTTCTTTATTTTAATTGAATAATGTAGGACTTTTGTTGCCGTCAGTTATGGGGAGAGTAGGGGCTCAGAATACTGAAATCTGTATTGTTTCATTGTTTTTTCCTTCTAATTTTGTATTATTTTCTAAACCACACACTGTTATTTACACAACAATAACACATACTTATCCTTGTGTTTATTTATTTGTTTGATTAATAAACACAAGTTGAAGTCCGTCAGGACCGAGGGTCGGAGCAGCTCATAGTAGTTGCTTTAGAGAATTTTACACCCGGAAGTAAGTATTCTCTCCGCT